TACTTAAAATTTTTTTTTTTTTTTTTAACATTTATTCATTTTTGAGAAACCGACAGAGTGCAAGCAGGGGAGAGGCAGAGAGAAGGAGAACACAGAATCCAAAGCAGGTTTCAGGCTCCAAACTGTCAGCACAGAACCTGATGCGGGGCTCAAACTCTCGAGCTGTGAGATCGTGACCTGAGCCGAAGTTGGACACTTAACCAACTAAGCCACTCAGGCACTCCGCCCATATTTTTGTGTTTAGATTCCCATGTCAGATTTACCAATAACAGTACATATACACCAATACATCATATTAAAGCATATTTTTTAACCTCCAACTTTTACTTGTTTGTGATTACATTATTTAACAGTTTATACATCTTTTACCAATGTTGTACTAGAATGAAAGTACTTTGTATAGCACATTGACAATTTGCTAAAATTGTAATTGCATATAGCTGCTAACAAGGAAGGAGATCAGAATTTGATCTTCATTAATTGGTCAAAGAAATTGATGTACTAAGAAGCTTGTTCTTAACTCTCACATTTAATGGATATTAAATAAATAATGGATAAATATTTTAAAAATTGAGGTATATAGACAGGTTCTACTTTTCATGGCTATTTTTTTTTCATTTTTTTAAATGTTTATTTATTTTTGACACAGAGAGAGAGGGAGAGGCAGAGTGCAAGTGGGGAGGGGCAGACACACACACACACACACACACACACACACACAGAATCAGAAGCAGGCTCCAGGCTCTGAGCTGTCAGCACAGAGCCCAACATGGGGCTCGAACCCACGAACTGTGAGATCATGACCTGAGCCGAAGTCGGACACTTAACCAACTGAGCCACCCAGGCGCCCCATCATTGCTATTTTTAATTCTAACAGCCATGTGGTGTTCCACAAAAGAAATGGTAGCTCACTTTTAACTTTTTCATTGAATTAAAAGATGTTTTAAATTCAGTCCTTTAAAAAACCGTGAAAACTGAACTCTGATAGTGAAAGCGGAATCCTTACCACCTTACTAAATTGGTATGGAGTGCCAAATTTCTGAAATTTTCTTGAACTACCAGTTTATCCCCATCTCTGGTGATCTTTTCAGTAATGGGAAAGTTTTAGTCCTGTGAAAAATGACACATCAGAACAGTAAAGTTACAGGTTATTTTATGAGAACTTAGAGCATGAGATGATAGAGACCTTTATGTAAAGATAAGGGTTTAGGATTTATAAGACAGTATTTTGACATAAGGGAGAATTGGAGGATATCTCTTCAATAAAAAATTTTAAATATTAACATTCAGGCATGTTAGCTGCCTGTTTAGCACAGATAACAGTCTTGTCACTGTTAGCAGACTGGACTCTTGATGAAGGGATGGTGTTTTATTTATCTTAGTTGTATTAGCCTTTACAGGTTGACTGACAGTTGATAGGTCAAAGCAACTACTTACTGAATTTAATTGCTGATTCTCCTTTGTGTATTTCATGAACTTCTTGGGTCCTCTGTTCTTCAGATAGAAAGCTAGAACACCTAACTGATAAAACATTTTTTCTTTCTTTGTTTTTCTTTTCAAATGTAGTGCATCAAGAGAAAATCCAGCCATGCAGGAAAAAAAAAGGTCAAGCATTTGGCAGTTGTAAGTAACTAAAAACAAATAAAGATATCAGAGAGCACTTTGAAACAAGAAGATTACAGTCAGAATTTTTTTAACTGTGATTTTATGTCTTCTTTCTTTTTAAAATTTGGAGTATATGGCTAAACTGTACTTCTTCTTTTTAATATGTAGCATGCCAGCTCGGTAAGGCTATTCTTGAGGACAAAACATATGCTATCGTAAGCTGCATCATGTTGGTTGTGCATTTGGTGGAATCTTCTGCTAAATTAAATAAAAACTATGGAAATTATTCATAGAGTTGATAATTACCTGGATCCTCAGTGAATAAGTTAACGTGGATTCGCTGGTTCTGTGATTGTTATGGAACTTGACAAAGTAAAGCTTAGAAATTTAGTGTCTGTAGGTTTGAGAAGTGTGTATATTTGTGTGTTTTGGACTTGAATTATGTTCCTGCCAGAAGTACTGTGCATTTACTATGCTTAAAACATCCATTTTTTGGTGAATCTGCTGTTTATTGGAAGTATTCATTCTTTTCAGTGGATGTGAAGGTAGATCTATGATTTGAGCTTAATAGAAATATGTATAAGATGTTAAAATGGCAATATGTGTTCCAGTGCTTTCTTACTATTTTTAGAATTGGCAAACTAAGCTTCTGTTCAAATCTTGCAGCCATAACCTTGCTATTTAACCACTACTCACCAAGTAGGAGCTAGGAACCATCTTACTTTATTTCTTTATTACAGGAAGTTCCCTGTACTTAAGACTTTCTTCCTTTCATTATGTGAATTGCTAATTGAAGAACAAGGGTCTGCCATTTTAAGCAATAGTTTCTCTTTACTGAATGTGAGTTTGGCTGTGAGTGAGTTAATTGCTAAGTAGTATATGACTACAAAAATCTTTCTGCCAGTTTCTAACTCATTGCCTTGTAAAAAGCATTCTAACTTGTGGAAAGTTATGGATTGTTTCTCACAGTGCATATAATAAGGCTCTTACTGTCTCTCACTCACTCTCTCTCACTCTCACTTTTTTCTTTAGTTTCAGCCGACTTTTTAGCTCCTCAAGTAATACTGCTAAGAAACCTGAACCACCTGTTAATTTGAAGTACAATGCACCCACCTCTCATGTTACTCCTTCTGTCAAGAAAAGAAGCAGCACCTTATCTCAGCTCCCTGGGGATAAGTCCAAAGCCTTTGATTTCCTTAGCGAAGAGTAAGTATTTTCCAGACTTGTGCTTATGCTCTAAAAATAAGTTAACAGTTAAGAATATTCTTGCCGCTTATCAGATCAGCTATAAGGTTCACAATAAGTCTATAAAGAAACCATTTTTGTAATGTGGCTGCGTACCTTTAAGTAAATTACTTGTAGTCAATATCTTTTATGAAAATTGCATGTCAGGGCTTTCATAAACAGAGAATTGCTTTAAAATGTCTCCTTGTTGCTGGTATAACAACACTGACAAATATCAGTAGAGTTAAAGGCCTATATGAGCCTATATCCTGGATGTTTGAACATTTCCTTTGGTGTCACAAGTAGCTGAATTTCTCTCCTGACTCTACTACTCCTTAGGTCCGTGACCTTGGACAAGCTAACCTCTCCGAGCCCCAGTGTCCCTGCCTGTAAAATGAGTATGATAACCTGGCTCAGGGACACTAGGGTTAAATTATATATAAAGTGTCTGGCACACAGATTGGTTAACTACTACCTACACAGCAAATCACCTCACAAAAATTTAAATAGCCCAAAGAAAGACCAACTGTTTTCAGGGTAGTTTTCTTTGTTATTTTACTCCATCATTCACAAGCTTATCCAGTCAGTTTGCACTTTTGTCTTCGGAAACAAATTAACGGGGCCCAGAAATGAACCTTTTATTATCTTCCTAAGACCATATTGATTTATTGATCTTCAGTCACTTCTAGTACATTCCCAGGCATTAGAAAATTCTCAGTAAATGTTTGTTGAATGAACAAAAAAGGGAGGAACTAAAGATATTTAAGAATTTTCCCCTTTCATATGGCCAAAATCTGAAACCTGATAGAAATCTGATGGCTGATGTTTAAACATAATAAAACAGACTGCTTGCTAATCTGTTAAAGCTTGAACGCTGTACCCCCCGCAAAACTTTAAAAAGACCAGCTTTAGGATAATACTTCTTAAGGCAGAAGTCTGAAGTAAACTCTTCTGAAATTATGTAATTTTTTGGTTGTTATTTTTGCCCTCTTAGTGGGAAGGGGGAGAGATGCTGTTGTTATTATATCCCCTTAATTAAAAAGGGATATCTCTTTTCCTTTTAGAACTGAAGCTAGTTTAGCCTCACGCAGAGAACAGAAGAGAGAACAGTATCGCCAGGTGAAGGCACATGTCCAGAAGGAAGATGGTAGAGTGCAGGCTTTTGGCTGGAGTCTGCCTCAAAAGTACAAACAGGTAACATGTGAACATGGTAAGAGCCTCTAGTGGAAATGCAAGGGGAGAGGAGTGTCCCTGGGCACGAAGGAATTGAAATACAGGTCTCAAAACCTGCTCATTTCAAGTTCATTGATTTGGCACACATTTAGAGAAGGGTTCAGGGTAGTGGTTCTCAGGCTGTTTTCTGGAGCCCCAGAGCCCAAAAGAAGTGCCTGAGTCGGTGAGGAGGGAGGGAGAGGGTCAACAGGAGGTTTCTCAAGTGTGTGGGACTTGAGGTATCCTGCTGGTTTGTTTCTTGTGTTTTTGTTTTGTTTTGTTTTTGGTGAAGTAGAGTCGACATATAGCATTATATTAGTTTCAGGTATACAACATAATAATTTGATGTTTTTGTATATTTTGCAATGATCACCACAATAAGTCTAGTTAATAGTTAACATCCATCACTGAACGTGGTTTCAGATTTTTTTTCTTGCAGTGAGAACTTTAAAGATTCCTCTCTTAGCAACTTTAAATGTGCAATACAGTATTATTAATTATAGTTGTCGTGCTGTACATTACATCCCCATGACTTATTTTATAACTGGGAGTTTGCACTTTTTGACCGCCTTTACGAACCACTTCACCTACTTCTCACCCTGCCTCTAGCAACCACCAGTTTATTCTCTGTATTTGAGCTTTGTATGTTTGTTTAAGATTCCACATATGAGTGAGATCATATGGTATTTGTCTTTCTCTGTCTGAATTTATTTCACTTACCATAATGCCCTTAAGTTCCATCCATGTTGTCACGAATGGCAAGATACCATTATGGCTGGATAATATTCCATTGTATTTGTATATCATATTTCCTTTCTATGTTCTTTTATCGATGGACACTTAGGTTGTTTCCATGTCTTGGCTACTGTAAATAATGCTGCGGTGAGCATAGAGATCCATATATCTTTTCAAGTTAATGTTTTTGTTTTCTCCAGATAAATACCCAGAAGTGGAATTGCTGCATTGTATGGTAGTTCTATTTTTAATTTTTTTTGTAAGTAATCTTTGTGCCCAACGCAGGGCTTAAACTCACGACCCCGAGATCAAGAGTCACATACTCTACTGGCTGAGCCAGCCAGGCACCCCTATTTTTAATTTTTTGAGGAACCTCCATCCTATTTTCCACAGTGGGTACACCAATTTACATTCCCACCTACAGAGGCACAAGGGTTCCCCTTTCTCCACATCCTTGCCAACACTTGTTATTTCTTGTCTTTTTGATAATAGCAATTGTGGTGTGAAGTGATATCTCACTGTGGTTTTGATTTGCATTTCCCTGGTGATTAATGATGCTGAGCATCTTTTCATGTACCTGTTAGCTGTCTGTATGTCTTCTTTGGAAAAATGTTTATTCAGATCATCTGCCCATCTTTTAATCCAATTTGGGTGGGGAGCTATTGAGTTTAATGAGTATCCTGCCCTATTTCAGTATTTGAAGATTTCATTTTTTAAAAAAACACATCTATTTTTTAGAAGTTTTAAGAAACCATTGTCATGGAGCCTTTCAGACTATTGATGTAAAACTCAGTTCACTTCTACAGGAACTTGTCTGCTTCCATATTTCCTCCGCTCAAAGACTCAGCACATGTGTACACATGCACACACATACATGCTCCTGAACACACATACGCACGAACATGTTCATGAATTAGTGTATCTCTTAAGAGCTCCCGTAGTATCTTGTTTATTGTTTCTAATTGCCACTTGATGACTTTCTGCTTATTTTTCAAATAAGAATAACAAAATTAACTTGAAGTTGATTTCAAAGAATAAATATGTACTATCAGGGCTTGCTCATGGCTCAGTGGTTCTGCGAATTCACTTTTGATGAGGCTTACCAATGTGTCTTTTTCTCTCCTCTTCCTAATTATTAGGTAACCAATGGCCAAGGGGAAAATAAGATGAAAAATCTACCTGTGCCTGTCTATCTCAGACCCCTAGATGAAAAAGATACATCCATGAAGGTAGATTAATTTTGGAGTTAAAGAAAATATTTCTTAAGCTCTGGGTGGATTTTTCCCCCTAAAACCAAGAAAGCTTAAATTTTACTTCTGTGAGTGAGGTTATTATTTCTTTTATAGTTTTAAACTGGGATACTTGAATATTAAAGACCTGTATTCATGGGGTGCCTGTCTGATTCAGAGCATGAGATTCTTAATCTCAGGGTATTGAGTTCAAGCCCCATGTTGGGGAGTACCCAGTGGGAGTAAGCCCCACTTGAAAGAAAGAAAGAAAGAAAGAAAGAGAGAAAGAGAGAAAGAGAGAAAGAGAGAGAAAGAAAGAAAGAAAGAAAGAAAGAAAGAAAGAAAGAAAGAAAGAAAAGAAAAGAAGGAAGGAAAAGAAAGGGAAGGGAGGGAGGGAGGAAGGAAGGAAGGAAAGAAAGAAGGGAAAGAGGAAAGGAAAGGAAAAGGAAAGGAAGAAAGAAAGAAGAAGACCTCTATTCCTAATCATTAGATTGTTAAAGAAATGTGAAATATTCTAAACATTTTTAGAGACAAAATAGATGTAATACCTTTTTTTCTTCTTCTTAAACCCAAAAAGCTGTGGTGTGCTGTTGGAGTCAACTTATCAGGTGGGAAGACCAGAGATGGTGGTTCTGTTGTTGGAGCAAGTGTCTTTTACAAAGATGTTGCTGGTTTGGATACAGAAGGCAGTAAACAGCGAAGTGCATCACAGAGTAGTTTAGACAAGTTAGACCAGGAACTTAAGGTAAGCGTGTGCACTAACATCTGACCTCTTCGTTTTTGCTCTTTGGTCCAAAACTGTTTTCTGGACCAGCTTCTAATTGGGATTATTACGTCTTTGCTTATTCCTTGTGCTCTTTTCTAGAGCATATTTTACATACAATAAGCTATATATACACTTGAAAATGGTACAGTTCAAAGAGTTTTGACAAATGTATGCACCCATTTAGGAGCCATCACAGTCAAGAACTAGAACATTTTTATCACTGCTATTTTCTAGTCTACTAATTAATATTGAAAGGTGGTTATATTTTTAATCTTTCAAATAATCTGCAAACTCAAAATAGCATTGGCCTTTACTGTAATAGCACTGACCTATGAAGTATACATACGTATTCTTTTAAACATTCTTTTTTTTTTTTTTTTTTTTTTTTTTTTTTTTTTTTTTTTTTACTTTGTATACATAGGAACAACAGAAGGAGTTAAAAAATCAAGAAGAATTATCCAGTCTAGTCTGGATCTGTACCAGCACTCATTCAGCTACAAAAGTAATCATTATTGATGCTATTCAACCAGGCAACATCCTAGACAGTTTTACTGTGTGTAACTCTCATGTTCTCTGTATAGCCAGTGTACCAGGTAAGGGTAAGCCACACCCCTTTCTCCCTACCATCTACATCTTTGTATTGGCAGGAACTGACTTATTTACCGGAGATACGGTCATGCACCACTCTCATGGAGTTTATGTTCTAGTTGGGGAAGACCAAAACTAAACTGGAAACAAATGACTAAACAAGATATTTTCAGTACTATGAAGAAAGTGAAACACGGTAATATGAGAAGATGATTGGTGGGCAGAGAGTAAGAGCCTGTTTAGATTGATTGATAAGAGAAGGATTTCTAAAGTTCTGTATTGAATATTATGTGATGTTTAAACATTGGTTTAAACATGAAACAGGTTGGTGATATGTCTGCACAATGGAATATTACTCAGTCATAAAAGGGAATGAAATTCTGATATGTACTACAACATAGATTAATTTTGGAAACATGCCAAGCAAAATATAACCCAGACACAAAAGGACAAATGTTGTATGATTCCATTTATATAAGGGATCTAGACTAGGCAGACACACAAAGACAGAGATGGATTAGAACTTACCAGGGCTGGGCCAGGAGGGGCTCGGGGAATAGGGAGTTACTGTGTAACGGGTACTGATTTTCTGGGTGGGTGATGGAAGAGGTTTAGACATAGATAGTTGTGGTGCTTGCATAACATTGTGAATGTAATTAATGCCACTGAACTGAACCCTTAAGGACATTAAATTATAAAGTTTTATGTTATATATGTATATCTTACTCCAATAAAATATTTTAATGTCTATATAAAAACAGCTTTCTAAATAAAACTGAAGGGATTTATCTTTATATGGCAAATGCTTAGTTATTAAATGTATCACTAATATCCTAAGACACTGTATACACCTAGGGTGATCAGGTTTTTTTTTTAAATGCTTATTTTTGAGAGAGGGAGTAAGAATGGTTTAGGGGCAGAGAGAGAAGAGAGAGAGAATCTCAAGCAGGCTCTGCACTCACAGTCCTGACGTGGATCTCAGTCTCACAAACTGTGAGATCATGACCTTAGCCGAAATCAAGAGCCAGATGCTTAACTGACTGAGCCTCCCAGACACCCTAGGATGATCAGTTTTTAATAGTGTGGGAAGTCCATATTTTATTTTATCGTTTTTGTTTATTTTAAAGTTTATTTATTTGGAGGGAGGGAGGGACTGAGGGAGAGAGAGAGAGAGAGATAGAGAGAGAGAGAAAAAACAAGAACCAGTGGGTGAGGGGCAGAGAGACAGAGACAGAGAGCCCAAGGCAGGGCTCAGCCCTCAAAATGTGAGATCGTGACGTGAGCCAAAGTTGGATGCTTAACTGACTGAGCCACTGTGGCACCATGGAAGTCCTTCTTTTGTTTTGTTTTATTTTGTTTTGTTTTGTTTTGTTTCATTTCGTTTCATTTCATTTCGTTTCATTTCATTTCAATTTATTTTATTTTATTTTATTTTACTTTATTTTATTTTATTTTATTTTATTTTATTTTATTTTTTATTTAAATGTTTATTTTTGGGAGTATGCGCATGAGCAGGGGAGGAGCAGAGAGAGAGGGAGAGAGAATCCCAAACAGGCTGTGCACTGACAGCAGCGAGTATGATGAGGGGCCCAAACTCACGAACCATGAGATCATGACCTGAGCCGACACCAAGAGTCGGACGCTTAACCGACTGGGCCACCCAGGCACCCCCAGAAGTCCAGATTTTAAATAGTAATCTTGATAATTAAAAAATTGTTCTTGCTGATTTGTCAGATAATAGATTTCCTTGTTTGAAACCTCATTAGGTGGCTGCTGAGGAGCTCCTGAAGAACAGAAGTGTCACGTTGTGACATTTTCATGTTTACTTGTGCTTGCAGGAATAGAAATACCAATTTTTTAAGCTACTTTCTCATTTTGTGATGGTTAGTTTAAATAAAATTTAAAGTTACCCTCCTGGCAGTGTATTCGAGTAGCTGTTTGTCTCCCCTCCATAACCTCATTTCAAACCTATAGTTGCCTTAATGGAGAAAATGCTACTTACAGGGGTTTACTTAGCTATTAGAAAAAGGTTTATCTCGTTTTTCAGGAGCCAGAGAAACAGACTACCCTGCGGGAGAGGAGCTTTCAGAATCTGGACAGGTAGACAAAGCGTCTCTGTGTGGCAGCGTGACCAGCAACAGCTCAGCAGAGACAGACAGCCTGTTGGGGGGCATCACCGTAGTTGGTTGTTCTACAGAAGGTGTGACAGCAGCCGCCACTTCCCCTAGTACCAATGGTGCTTCTCCAGTGATGGAAAAACCACCAGGTATCTCTCTCCTCCTTACATGTCTTCAGTGTCCGGAGTCTGAGCCTGTCTCACGTGTCTCATTATGGACTCATACTTAATGTAGGTCTTGAAGTGACGAGGATGAAAGAGCTTGAAAGAAGACACTGTGATGACTGTTAAGGATTCTAGTATCTCATGATACAGTGGAGGAGGACGGGGTCGGTGGAGTGGAATTCTACGGGGGTGTTTTGTGTGGGGAAACTATTGGGAGGAAAGCTCAAATTCCGAATGGCTAGCATGTGTTATTTATTTTGTAGAAAAGGAAGCAGAAAATAGTGAGGTTGATGAGAATGTTCCAACGGCAGAAGAAGCTACGGAGGCCACAGAAGGCAATGCAGGGACAGCTGAAGACACCGCGGACGCCTCCCAGCCCGGCGTCTACACAGAGCATGTCTTCACAGACCCCCTGGGGGTTCAAATCCCAGAGGACCTCTCGCCTGTGTATCAGTCAAGGTATATGGATGGGTCGGCAACTCAGGAAACCAGATAAGTGTTTATGTAAAAGGAACCAGAATCCTCTCAAGCAGCCACGGGATTCCCGCTAATGGGATCGTGGCAGACTGTGGTGTCATTATGCGTTCCCAGTGTGTCTGTGTCTCCACTTACCCTTCCGCTGCATTCGCTCTGGATTTCCACTCCCTCCTTGCCCCCCTTCAATGTGTTCTCTATTCTAACAACTTAAAAAAAAAAGTCTTACCTGGTCAAAATCTTCCTGGCCATTTTCTCCTCTCATATGATTTCTTTTCTCATTTCCATTCAAACTGTGATTGTGCCATTTTCCGTCCAGTCCTCCTCTTACTTCAACCCTAGTTATCTACAAAATTGGCAGTTTGGATTTCCCATGTCGGCTTGGATGACTTTTGTAAAGTTTGTTTTCTGGCAAACAGCTCTTCCTTTTTATTTTTTAACTTTTTTTAATGTTTATTTATTATTGGGAGACAGAGAGAGACAGAGCATACGCATGAGAGGGGCAGAGGGAGGAGGAGATACAGAATCCGAAGCAGGCTCCAGGCTTTGAGCTGTCATCGCAGAGCCCGACGCAGGGCTTGAACTCATGGACCGTGAGATCATGACCTGAGCCGAAGTCGGATGCTTAATCAACTGAGCCATCCAGGCGCCCCAAACAGCTCTTCCTTCCTTTAAAGTGTTTGATAATACCGGCCCATTTAGTGAATTCTTTAATTTTATTTTCTGCCTTCTCTAGGCCTTTATAGAAAGCTGATGGGGATACATTTAAATGTGATTCTTTTTACAATTTAATAGTCTTCCTCTTAGCTTATAGAACAGTCAAGGGCCTATTAACATTTGTTAATTTAAGAATAAACTCATCTTTTTAGAATTAGCAGGTATGTTTTGGATTTGATAGCTCAGTTATCTTTTTCTAAAAATATTCTGACAATCCAAAAGAAAGAAGGTCTTGGGAGAGAATGCAAGCATGTTTTAACTTAATACTTTATTTTAGAAAATTCTTTATACTCATTCCTTTGTGTGTGTATATGATTTTTAAACAAACCATCCTTTCCTCTGCT